TAGATATACAATCCCAAAACCAAAACCCACCAAGAAATATCCAGAGCTATGGCGGCGCCAATTACACCAAGCTCAAGAACATAAATCAAAACCCAACTAGCAACGATATTAACTACTAATCCAGCTAAAGAGACCCAAGCGATCACTTGGGTTTTGAGTTGGCATTGCAAAAACCTCTGTAATGGAAACTGAAACGCGAAGCTGAAATGAAGGGGTATTAACCAAAGCACCACAACCCCTGATTGCTCTGCTACGTCGTCGGCTTGGCCTAGCAGTTTCAGAAGGGGTGTGGCGTAGAAGTACACAGGGAGTAAGAAGAAACAACAGAGGGTTAGAACGATCCATGAACGCTGCAAATAGATACCCAACATGTGGTATCGTCTTGCTCCAAATGCTTGCCCACACAGCGTCTCTAGCGCACTTGCCATACCCAACTGAAGTTCAAAACAGAGGAAAGAAACAAGGGATCGATCAAATTTGGCGATGAAACAGAGTATTGATTCAAAATTGATTGACTTACCAGAAGGCCGAAATTGAATCCGACAATTACAGTGTTGGCGATGGAAATGGAAGCGAGTTCGACATCACCCAAATGACCGGCGAAAGCTTGGGTGATGATGTTCATGGAGAAGCTCGCGACACGGCTGAATATGGAAGGGCCAACGATTAGCCATAGCTTCTGGGTTTCGACCCAAAATTTGGATACAAAATCCTCGCTTCGATTCTCTGCTATATTGTGTTTGGGCGAGAGGAGGGGCTGATTGGGACCGTCGCGATCGGTTCTAACAACAGCACCCATTTGTAAGAAACAGAGGAAAAACAGAGAGTGGGTTTGAAAACAGGAGGAAGATCCATTGAATTTATAATGAGTCGGCAGCTCATCTCCCACGCAGCAATTGGGTGGTGTTCTTCATTTCATAACAAATGATTATCTTTATAAAATATGATGTTTAATTGTTGGAGAGTTCAAAATGGTATGAACAAGTTGATTATAAAAAGATGAACTTTTTGATAAGAAAGTTGATGGTGGTCAACTTAGACGACGGAGCAATCCACACCTAGAGATTTAGAATATCATTGAACCCTCCACGTTTACAAAGTTTAAGGAACCAAAACACAACTCATCGCTCACATATTTGTCGACCTTTACCACACCTCCGCCCTATGCACTTATCGGAATCGACAGTACGATACTACGAGTGGGGATCGAGATGCGGAATATAATTCTCGTTAATAGAGAGAAATCAGTGTAAAAACCTCTCACTAATAAATACATTTTAAATTCGAACCGGTCCAGATGGTACGTTGGCTCAATTAATTTGTTTGTGCAGACAAAATGGGAAAGTATTAATGAGCCATGGCAAGGGTAGGCAACCACCCTTGCTCCAAAATCTTGCTTTCCCTTCACCGACCTTTCAAACTGTATAACGGCCCAAACCCACCACTAACAGATATTGTCATCTTTTGACTTCCTCTCAAGACTTTAAAACACACTGCCCTGATAAAGGGTATTTTGTTATTTTTTATTATTATTTTAATATCTGTCAATAATGTTTTTTTTCCTTAAAAAAAATATTAAAAATTGATTGCTCATATTATTATGATATTAAATAATTAATAAATAAATTATTGTTTACTTTCTAGAAGTTACGTAGAGAATTTACTCGTTTATCTGTCATGCCAGCTCACTTACAAGTAAGCAAAAAGTCACTTTTTGTATGTCGAATAAAGTTATAACATAAAAAAAATTAAATTAAAACATGTGACTAGAGTGACACGTGGGCTTTTAATATATGCAGAATAATTAGGTTACATAGTTTATTATAATTTTTAATTAATATTAATTCTGGCCTTTACACGAGTCTAATATTATCTCTATATTTATGATATTCTCTTTAATTAATTTATTACGTGAATACTCTCACCTTGGAGTACTCATGGTCGGTAATTCCTCGAATGCGAGCGGAAGTGTTCAAATTGGCTCGAACCAACAACCTCCAATGCGAGCGAAAGTGTCCGAATAGACCCTTTTGAATCCTTTTAAGTGTCTGCTTATTGTTGGTTCGAGTCAATTCGAACACTTTCGCTCACATTAGAGGAATTACCCTAATCTTTTGGTTAGTTGCAGTGAGTATCTCTTTTCGAAATTGTTTACGTGTTCTTATTAGCATTGAGTTTGTACGTAAGGAATTTACGAGGTTTTTTGGAATAAATAGTACAAAACTAACCTTGTGATAAAAGGAAGTGAGTTAAATATAAGGGCCTCGGGTATAAATGGTTGATGGTTGGTATTATTTTTAACGAAAGTAAAGTAAAGGTATTGAGAGGTCTCGACTACAAAAGTCGGGGGACGATATTCAATATAACTAGTATCGTTACGCTGTGGTACAAAGGTCAAAGATCGATATTTGTTGTATGCATATAGGAGATATTATGGTTCCTAGGTGTGAATGTAAGGGATCGATATTCCTTATATGCAAATATCGGAACGCTTAAGTACGAATATATGAGATCCCACATCGATTAGAGAAAGAACGAAACATGTTTATAAGAGCGTGGAAATCTTTTCTTCGCAGACACGTTTTAAAACTTTGAGTGAAAGTCCGAAAAGAAAATTCAAAGAGAAATAGTTGCTAGCGATCACGGTGTCTCATTACTGCCTGCCACACTACCACTTATTAATGATAGCTCAATGATCACAGCAAGAAGTCAATATCCACCAACTTCGTACGAACCCAACCCGTTCTTGGACCTAATGAAATACAACAAAAGTTCAAAAAGGCTCGAAATGGAAGCGAATTTAGACTCGAATACTCAGTCGCACCCGTGCCTAAACCAACCACATGGGCACTAGAAAAGCTACTTCATGTGTCAAAAGCTCAAGTGGTCGTGTTGGTTATCATGGCTAGGGCGGACCAAGTTGAGGCAGAGATGGTTACTATTTTTAACTGTAAATTTGAGTGAGATATACGATTGTTACTATTTTAAAAGCGAATGGTTCGATCATCTATTTTTACGATAATCTTAAAAGAAAGCAGAATAAAATTATATAAGTAGGAGGAAGAATAATGTTTGGATGACTTTTGAAAGGGTGGTCAGTAACACCGAACATTTTATAAAGTGATTCTTAAGGAGCCCAGTTGTATTTCTCGTAAATTATGCGACTAAGACGACTCATACCTAAGATTCAGATCAAGATTTGGAATCCAGATTCGACACCCGACAATCCTAACATTCTGCAGTATCCCCTACGACACGATTAAGTTACCTAGTCTTTGGTTCTTAAGAGTGAAAACGATTCTCACATCCCAATACGAGTTATTCCAATAAGTTTTGTCTCGCTCATATGTTTCCTATGAAAGAGGCAGTTTGTCTCGCTCATTCTATTATCAAAATTACTCTTATTTGGATATGATCTCAGTTCATTCATGTATTGTTTCTTTATTTCAGTGTCACAAAGTCGGTATTAGATACGAACTTTATAAAGCCACGAATATAAAAAAGTTAGAGGCTAAACTATTAAATTAAATAAAAATAGGCTACTTTTTACTTTATTATTAAATATTTATTTAAAAAAAAAAAGGAAGTTGCCTTTTTAGGAAAAGGAAATATAAAGGGAGTGTATGAATAAATGTGGCTTTTTTCTACCAAATTTTCAAATTTTTTATTAAAAAAAATATGAAAAATAAAGAATTTAATTTTTTGTGACTTAAAAATATATTTTAAATTAATATATTATTCATTGGAAACCACGTACAACGTAATAAAAATATCCTTATTTTTTAAATTAATAAAGATTTCTTGAAGTGGAAATTTGTTACCCAAAATCAGTAATTATCAGGTGCACGTGGCACGCATGCGGGACACACATCCTTTCTTTTTTCCAACAAAATTATATGTAAATAGAATATTGAAATTTGTTAAATTACATAATTAAATCCAAAATTATATTTTTTAAAATTATATTTAATTAATAAAATTTAAATATATATCTCCAGAAGGAACTGATTCACTCTGTGTAGTTTGATTGAACGCAGAAAGACTTTTACGGGCAAACAATTGTATTTTTTTTACAGAATTTCTTGTTACTCAGGTCAGTGATCGTGTCTTTCAGGTCCCACTTACGTTGAATATATATATATATATATATATATATATATATATATATATATATATATTAATATAGTTCTTGGGAAGAAGAATTTTGATAATTTAAAAAAAAATTAAAGTGAAATTGGTGAAGATAATTATGAAGAGGATGAAGGGTAAATTTGAAACCGCGACAGCTAAGAGAATGGGACAAAAGAAGGTGGGTTTCAAACCCACTCTATTTTGTCAACGCTGGGCCCACATTGGTTATAAAATAATTTTAAGAAATAAAAAAAAATAATTAGACATAAATTAATGGAAAGCTGCTATTACGCCGTCCGGTCATTATTTTCGTGATGGCAATCTAAATTATGCCCACTACTATGTTTTATCAATGATTTATATTAAATTAAAAAAAAAAAAAACATTTTTACTCGCGAGTAAAAAAAGTCTAAAGATAACGATATTTATTAGTGATGAGCTAAAATTGTTACAGATAGTATCAGAAGTGATACTGGATGATATGTCAGTGAGGACGTTGAGTCTCTGGATTGAATTCATTGTTTAGGTTGGAAAATTTATCAACTTGGACGATTGGGTTGCGTTTAAAAAGTGTTTTAACCTATGATCACCCTTTATTCGTGGTTAAAATACTTTTAAAATTTTGGATTTTGTCACGTGAAATGAATCCTTCCAAAAACGAGAAACAAAATACAAAATACAAACTATTAATTTGTTTTATATATATTTGGTGCCGGAAAATATTACAAATTTAATTATCCGTCAAAATCAAATAACTAATTATTGAAGAAAATAATAATTTGGTATTGAATTATATTTCCACCTTGGTTGGTTAATGACCATTCTGTCCCCACTTTTTATCTTCTCTACTTCCCTTAAAACGGACCCTCAAAGTCTTTACGGCGAAGAAACAGAGCGCCGCCATGAAAAGGGCTCTTCTTATTTTCAACTGCCTTTTGTTGGCCGTCGGCAACTGCGGCGGTCCGTTGATTATGCGGTTATATTTCGTCCACGGCGGGAAGCGTGTGTGGCTTTCCAGCTGGCTGGAAACCGGTGGCTGGCCGATGATTTTCATCCCGTTGATATTTAGTTACTTCCACCGCCGCCGTTCCGCCGCCCTGGAGTCATCGGAATCTGCCAACAAAACGAAGATGATTTTCATGAAGCCGCGGCTGTTTTTGGCCTCCGCCGTCATCGGCATCATCACCGGCTTCGACGATTATTTGTACGCTTACGGCGTGGCTCGGCTGCCGGTTTCAACTTCGGCATTGATTATCGCCACCCAGCTTGCTTTCACAGCCGGTTTCGCTTACCTACTAGTGAAACAGAAATTCACATCTTATTCGATAAACGCCGTCGTTTTAATAACAATTGGAGGCGCGGTACTTGCATTGCACACGAGTGGAGACCGCCCCGCCGGAGTTTCCACCAAACAGTACATCGCCGGATTCTTGATGACGTTAGCCGCGGCGGCGTTGTACGGATTCGTTCTGCCGCTTGTGGAATTAACTTACAAAAAATCCCGACAGCGAATTACGTACACCTTAGTGCTGGAAATTCAGCTGGTATTGTCTTTCTTCGCCACCGTCGTCTGCACCGTCGGGATGTTGGCCAACAACGATTTTAAGGTATTAAAAATCCAATCTTTTCCCAAATTAAATCATGGGTTTTTATTATTAATTGTGTTTAAACTCTCCTGATTTTGTTTTGAGCTCACTCAGAAAGCCGTTAAGAAAAATAAAGTATACCATAGAACTTCGTCAGAAGATTATGGAGCCATCGAATAGACTTCCCTTAATCGAGGCTCGGCCCCTGAATCTAAAGTGTCGAACAAAGGGTGTATTTTGTTCGAGGGCTCCAAAGAAAAAAGTCGAGGCTCGATTAAGGGAAGGCTATTCGAGAGCTCCATAAGCCTCAGGGGAGACTTATAGTGTACTTTGTTAAAGGAGAGGATGGTTGAGGATTATTGGAAGTGAGTCACCCGTTGATTAATTTAGTGGAAAATCATGAGTTTATAAGTGAAGAATACTATCTCCTATAAACCCTTTTGGGTAAGTTCAAACCAAACCCATAAGAGCTTAAGGTCAGAGTCGACAATATCATACTATTGTGAAGAATCGTGATTCCTAACAGACTCCACTTTAAAAGATTGTGATATCATATTAGAATCATTGATATTGTCCAATTAAGGTAATAAAAATGGAATCTTTTGAGAAATTAAATGATGGGTTTTGATTAATAATTACAACAGGTGATTCCTAGAGAAGCGGCAGAATTTGGACTAGGGGAGACGGCATACTACGTGGTATTAGCATGCAGCGCCATAGCTTGGCAAGGGTTCTTCTTGGGAGCCATCGGAGTTATTTTCAGCTCGTCGTCTCTGTTTTCCGGCATAGTAATCGCAGTTCTATTGCCGGTGACTGAGATTCTAGCAGTAATTATATTCAAGGAGAAGTTTAAGGCGGAGAAGGGAGTTTCTTTGGCTCTAAATCTTTGGGGTTTTGTGTCTTATTTCTATGGTGATATTAAGAACAATAAAACCAACAATCTTCAGCTGCAACTCCACAAGACTGAAGCTACAGCTACTCAAATTTCAAGTGTTTGACATCCTTTTTATGTAACTTTATGCTTTATGTTGGTAAAGATGATATAAAGTAATAATAACTTTGTCGTCTATTAAAAAGTAGCATTATTTCTTTCTTTAGTAGCCAAACACTCGGCGATGTATCAGCGAGAAGGCTGAGCCTCGAAGGGGAGGGGACAGTAGACCGTGTGCCATCAAAAACGCTGGCTTCGAAAGGGGGTGGATTAAAGTGTCCCACGAGTGCCAGCGAGAAGACTAGGCCCTGAAGGTAGGTGGATTGTGAGATTCAACGTCGATTGGGGAGAAGAACGGAGTATTGTTTATAAGGGTGTGGAAATTTCTCCCTAGTAAACGCGTTTTAAAAAACTATTCCAAACACAAATGCATTTAACCCATGTGACTCAAAGAATTAAAAGATCAGATATTTATATTCAAATCGTTTGAACTTAAAATAATGATGACGATAATGATAGTGAAGTTGTAACGACCTTAAATTTCCACATACTGAGAGTCGCTACTAACGTCTCATGCTCATCTATAATGCGAAAATATAACTCTTACATGAACATAATTGATAACGTAAATTTCAAAAAACGTTTAAAACAACTTCTTCTTTGGAAAACACAGTCATGATCTTACGTGTTTAAATATGAAATACTGGAATTTAGAGAAAACAAAAACAAATACAAAATAATTTACAAGAATGAAATGTAAAACAACCTATTCTAACTTAAGACTAGAAATTTAAATATGAGTCTACCCTATGCACGTGCCACAGTCTCTACTCGCGATGCCGCCATCCTCCGTACAAGTGCACCTTGCCTTTACCTAAAAAATGAAGTAGCACACGACCTGAGTATTTCAAACAATACTCAATAAGTGGCCCCACTATAGGGGGCCATGCAAATGCAAACACATGCAATCATGATTTAGGGACCTATCTCTAATCATCTTAGAGGTGGCCTTCAGTCTCGGACAAATTGGATGTGTAGTACTTCCCTACACACGATCCACATGTGCGAGTGTGAGTCCCCAGGGCGCTCGCACACCCCCTGGACCCTCTGGTCAAGCTAATCTGTAGCGACGTCCGGAGGTCAGCGGAACCCCATAGTGTCATGCGCCTCATGAACACCCTCATCTGTGTGCTTTCGCACCTGTGCGCATTCGCGCTCATCATAAGGTGCACGTCCGCACTCATCATCTCTAGGAGAAGTAGCTCATACAAAATGCATGAGGTCCCTCTAAATCCATCGTAATGTCTCTTCTGACACAACCCTCTAGTCTCATCTCTTTGTTACTCTAGGTAACGCATACTCGTGGATATTTATATTAATATCATTTTCATGCTCTTAGGGTTGTGTCCTACGTCGATCTAACGACATGATGCAATATGGCACTCATCATCATCTGGCATGCTCAATATGGAAAACAACATCATATTAAGGTAAAAATCATGCAATCATCATGCTCATCATAATGTCACCACGTGCGTCAAACATATCAAGCGTCACTCAACAAAATATGTATATACCGCACATATCATCAAGCATCATAATCCACACATCATCATAACTCATACAATTATTTAGTCTATCCTATAGTAAGGCCACTTACCTGGTTAGCTTATACAGGTGTGACCAATTTATCCTTAATGAAAATTCGATTTTTCCCTTTGTATCCAAGCCAACCTATAAGAATCCATAACATCAATTTCATGTTTAATTCTCTAACTCCTACCATGGTTCATGTGCTAAATTTCATGCGAGCATTATAGACTTTATGAGTATTGAATATGTATATATATATATATATATAGCTTGGTATCTTTTTTTTACTCTATGTATTTACTCTGTAAAATTGTTTCTGTTCACCAAATCTTCTATTGTCCTCCCTACTGTCTCTCTCTTTTCTTTCCTGTATTTAATTAGTTAAATATATACAATTTCCTTTCTTTTACTTTTTTTTTCTTTTCTGTACTTAATTAAATATATTTTTTCTTTACCTCTCTCGGTTTAATTCTTTTCCAAATCTCTCTCGGTTTAATTCTTTTTCAAATCTATTGTTTAATTCTTTTCTTCTCTGTTTAATTCTTTTCTTCCCTATTTAATTCTAACAGTTTAGTAAATGAAGGGTTGATCTAATTCTCAAAAATGGTACAAAGAGAGATCTATGATCTCATTCAAAGATCTGACATGATTTCTAACTGTTAATTAACATCTAAATAACTAGGTAATGTAGGTGGGAAATTTGATTCTAATTAATTAGATAAATGATTTTGAATTTTTTCTTTTCTTTCCTAAAACTACTGTCATTAACCATTTCCAATCTATTTTAATTTTTCCTGGAGTAAAAATGGCTATGCATCCATCCATTATTATTTTCTTCTCCTTCCTCAAAATGATGATTCAATTTAGATGCAACTGACACAGCGAATTTTGATTTTCAATCCTATATCCAAAAATCTAAATAATTGAAAGAGAGATCTAAGATAAGTTTTCTATCTCGTGCAAAAATAAAAGAAAATGAGACCTAACTTGATGACTTTTCTATCTCTTTCTATTCCTATTAGATCTGCCTGAAGTGAAGGCCATCTCCCATTTTTTCTCCCACAATCTGTGATCTTTTTTATGTTTCTTTCTCCCATTTTTCCCTTCCCAAAATCTGCTATTTTTGTTTCTGTTTCCTTTCTTGGTTTTTTTGCAGATCATTTTGCAGTTGGACGGGTTGGGGAGATATTTGGAGAAGGTGGGGAGAGAGTCTATAATTTACTTCTTTATTTTATTTTATTTTTATAATTATTATTTACTTATTATTATTATCTTTTACACAAGTCTTTCTACCCCTAGCTATGAAGCAGGAGTACCATTATTAGAAGGTTTAGATGAGGTTTTTCAAGTCTTTCTACCCGGACTTACTCGCAACGATTCAAAGGAATTGTACGAATAATTCCTAAACTCTAAACCAAACAAGAAGTACAAAGAAATAAATTAATGAAAATTTTTAAATTTTAAGTATATTTTAAAAATAAAATATTAGCTGATATTATTGAATTTTTAGAAATACTTTTAAGTAAAGTATAGCTTTTATTACAATAATAGTTATAATAAATAATAATTTTTTGTTATTAGATTAAATACTTATTAACGCTTTTCTTTTATTTATATATTAAATATTACATTGAAACTTATAAAATATAATGCAATAGGTATGATCTTTGTTTACACCAAATCATCCATTATTCAATTAATTTTTATTTATCAATAAAATATCTTTTACCCTTTTACGTTATTAAATATGATATGTTATTACCGGTTACATACTGTCAACAGCTGTTACAAACGATGTTTTGTTTCTTTGGAACTTCACAATCCACCCCTTGAGAGTTACCGTCTTCGGTGATATGCCTCCTAATATATGACTCTGATATCATTTGTAACAGCTCAAATTCAACGCTAGTAGATATTGTCTGCGTTGGTTCGTTACTTATCATCGTCAATCTCATGGTTTTAAAACGCGTCTACTAAGAAGAGGTTTTCATTCGTTCTCCCCTCCAACAAATGTGGAATGTTACATAAAATTATCATAACAACTACCACCTTCATTGTAGTCTTCAGTCTCTTTACAATTTATCGTCTTTTTACTTTTACATCAATTGCTGATAATGTCATATCTTCGAATCTGCAGAAGATTATTGGGAGGAGTCTATCATTTCCCACCTTGACTAAATTGATTTATAAGTAAGAAAGACAGAGAGTTGGGATTTATTTAAAATATTTAATAACTTTTATAATAATGAGATTAATTAATTATTTGTTATTTTGTGGGCCGTCCTATTTTTTTTTTTCAGTTGTTAAATCTGCTTATGGAAGGTCGTACTCAGATTTCCGCTCTTATACATGCTGTTACCATCATGAATCTAATAGCTTTTATAGATATTAAGAGAAGTTTACCCTATTCTACAATGGTTTCGGTTTTGGGACTGTGATGTCTAACGGAATCTATCTCTTAATCCAGAAAATACCCCTTTTCCCATGAAATAAACAAATAAATAAATCCCCGAGCCATTTCTAGTAGAGGTGAAATTGGGGTTAGGAAAAATCTTGACAGAATGAGTTCATTTTCCTTTCCCGTCTGCTCTCACCATCTTCACGCAGCGATTCGGAAACCGAGATCTCTAGAAGTCAATTTGCAAAGAAAACCTAGATTTCTTTGCCTCCATGGCTTCCGAACCAGCGGCGAAATCCTGAAGAAACAGCTCGGAAAATGGCCGATGTCCGTCCTCGATCAACTCGATCTCCAGTTTCTCGACGCTCCATTTCCTGCACAAGGAAGTTCCGATGTTGAAAGATTCTTCGATCCTCCCTATTTCGAGTGGTTTCAATTCAGTGCGGTGCGGTTGCTTCATCTAATTTCATTTCGCCTATCACAAACTCGTTCAATCGATTAATTTATTTCCTCTGTTCTTCAAGATTTCACAGAATATCGAAATCTCGAGGAGTGTCTCTTATTCATCGAGGATTACATGCTTAATCACGAACCATTTGATGGACTCCTCGGTTTCTCACAGGTAATTAGCCAAATGAAGCTTAATCAACTAACAATCTGAAGATGGATTTCTCAATTTCAATCTGTTCGCAAACATTTCCAGGGGGCGATGTTATCGGCCGTGCTACAGGGACTTCAAGCAACGGTAAACAAACAAATTGGATCATTTGAATTGATGAACACATCTTTTTGTAAAAACACTCACACTCTTTATTAACACGACAACAAAGTATATCTTGGATGATAACACAGAGTAGGGTAGGGATTCCCATGAACAATTTATTTTTTAAAAAAAATTCTAAAATAATTAAGTATATTTATGTGTAAGAAATGGTTTAAGTTTTGGATTAATGGATTGCAGGGAGCTGGTCTGACAAAAGTCCCTAAGATCAAGTTCGTGATCATCGTCAGCGGAGCCAAATTCAACCAATTTCTGCCTCACAAAGCTTTCTCGACTTCCATTGGATGCCCATCCCTCCATTTTCTGGGTACTCTCTATTACGAATTCGGGATGCGACAAACTGTAGGCCTAATATTTTGACGATAACATAGCTATCTATTTAATAGACTAGAGTCTAACATTTGACTGACTCCAAACATAAGTAATAATACTTGGCGTAAACGTGATAGTTGAGGAAATGAATTATAAGTATTTGAGAATCGAAAATATATGACAAATCTGGCGAGGAATGGTTGAGATGTAAAATCAATATATCGTTATGTTATTATTTCAGATCTTGGTATGATATTGTCTGCTTCGAGTCTAAGCTCGTGTGGTTTTGTTTTGGGTTTTCCAAATGGCGCGATACCAATTATAAACCCATGACTTGTCACAATTGCACTCTTTGATAGCAGCAGACTTGCGATTGTGCGGCACTCACTTTCCAACGACAAGTGAGTTAAGCCAATTCGTTCTTACGTCGCCTACAACCAAGTGACGTATGCTCGAGCCTCTAGCCTCGGTTTAAGAAGAAGGTTTTAGAAAACGAGGGCAAAAAGAGATTTTTTAAAGAGACATTATATATATGCAAGCAAGAGAGTAACAACAACAGCTCACAGTACATAACTTTTGGTAGGGATCATAAATTAGCTGACGTGATACTTTCATCCAACACTCCACATTTTCAAATTTTCAAATTTTCAAATTTTCAAATATATATATCTTTTTTTTATTAATAAGTTATATATCTTATTAGTAGTAATATTTATGTTTGTAAATATTAATGTCTATTAAATTTCAATATCAATGTGGTGACACGTGTTATAATCTTTAATTGTGGTCCTTTATTGAAATTTAGTCCCGTGCATCATTTAGTTTCGAAGTAAAATAATAGTTATATTTTAGTTATGTGACTGTTTTTTTTATTAATAGAAATGTATTTAAAGTTAAATTAATAAAAATATTTTTAAATTTTGTATTTATTTAAAAATATATATTTTTAAATTTTAAATTTTTAAAAATTTCAATATTTTAACTTTTAATTTTAGAATCATAAATATTATATTTTAAAAATAAATTTAAATTTTAAAAAGTTTCATTAATACTACACTAAAAATACTCATAAAATTTTAAAAGTATTAAAATAAGATTTAAAAAACTCATATCATGGTTGGAAAATGAAAGTCCCACATCGGCTAATTTAGGGAATGATCATGGATTTATAAACAAATAATACTCTCTCTATTAATATAAGTAAAGCAAAACTATGAGAGTCTATACTCAAAGTGAACAATATCCTATGATACTCTCTCCATTAGGCTATATATAATTTTTACTTTCTTTTTATTAATTTAGTAAGGTCGTATAAAATGGTGGTGACAGGTGAGCGAGACCCGATGAAGCCCCATGGAGTGAAGCTTCTCGAATCATTTATTGACCCATTAGTAATTTATCATTCTAAAGGCCACATAGTACCTACACTCGGTAATATTTACATTTAATTCACATTTATTTTCTTAATTCTTTATGCTAATTTATATTATATTATCAACCTTATATTTTATATTTTCAGATCACGAAGCTGTGAAGATTATGCAGACTTTCATTCATGTGATTTCAAACACATTCAATGTTTAATTAAACTATCAATTATGCATAATAATAATAATAATAATAATAACCGTGGGTTTGGACTGTTACATCATTTCAAACACAAATGCATATAGTTCATGTGGCTTCTTTATTTTTGTTATCAATATAATCTCTTTTGCATCTTTTTCGGTATAATTTCGGCCGACTAAAACATAGATTAATTAATTAAAACATTATAACTTTTGACTAAAAAAATTAAACATCAGATATTTGCATTCAAATGGTATTGAACTTAAAATGTTGATGACGACGACAATGATAGTGAAATCTTTCTACTCCTAGCTATGGAGGGGGAGTACCATTATTAGAAGGTTTAGATGAGGTTAGGCAGATGAGTTTGCTCTCTTATTTATTAAATATTATCTGTTTTGACCTGTTACATATTGCCGACAATTTTACAATTTTGAAAGACGTTTATTAGGGAGATATTTTCACACCGTTACAAACGATGTTTTGTTCATTTGGGACCTCACAATCCACCCCGAATTAGCATCTTCACTAGTATGCCTCCTTTGATACCATTGGTAACAGCTCAAACCCGCAACTGGCAGATATTTGTATGTTTTGGTTCGTTACTTATCAACATCAACTCCATGGTTTTAAAACGCGTCTACTAAGGAGAGGTTTTCACACACTTATAAGAAATGTTTCGTTCCCCTCTCCTTTTACATCAATTGTTGATAATATCATATCTTCAAATCTGTAGAAGATTATTGAGAGGAGTCTATCATTTCCACTAAATACATCTTCAGAGCTTAAGAGTTTTGAATTTCGGGATTTATTTAAAATATTCAATAACTTGATTTATAACAATGAGGTTAATTAATTATTTGTTAGTTTGTGGGCGGTCCTATCTTTTGCATGTGCAGTTGCTAAATCTGCTCAATTTCCCCTTCAGGTATGGTTACTTGATGCTATGGAAGGTCCGTACTCAGATTTCGGCTCTTACACATGCTGCTACCATCATGAATCTAATAGCTTTTATAGATATTAAGAGAAGTTTAGCCTATTCTACCATGGTTTCGGTTTTGGGACTGTGATGTCTAACGGAATCTCTCTTAATCCCGAAAATACCCCTTTCCCCATGAAATAAACAAATAAATAGATCCCCTAGCCATTTCTAGGAGAGGTGAAATTGGGGTTAGGAAAAATCTTAACAGAATGAGTTCATTTTCCCATCCCCTCAGCTCTCTCCATCTTCACACAGCGAGTCGGAAACCGAGATCTCCAGAAGTCAATTTGCAAAGAAAACCTAGATTTCTTTGCCTCCATGGATTCCGAACCAGCGGCGAAATCCTCAAGAAGCAGCTCGGAAAATGGCCGGCGTCCGTCCTCGATCAACTCGATCTCCAGTTTCTCGACGCTCCATTTCTTGCACAAGGAAGTTCCGATGTTGAAAGATTCTTCGATCCTCCCTATTTCGAGTGGTTTCAATTCAGTGCGGTGCGGTTGCTTCATCTAATTTCATTTTGCTATCTCAATCGATTAATTTATTTCCACTGTTCTTTAGGATTTCACAGAACATCGAAATCTCGAGGAGTGTCTCTCATTCATCGAGGATTACATGCTTAATCACGAACCATTTGATGGACTCCTCGGTTTCTCACAGGTAATTGACCAAATGAAGCTTAATCGATTAACGATCTAGAGATGAATTTCTCAATTTCAATCCGTTCGCAAACATTTTCAGGGGGCGACGTTATCGGCCGCGCTACCGGGACTTCAAGCATCGGTAAACAAACAAATCGGATCATTTGAATCTTTCAATTCAGCGTTGAACACAACTAGAAACACTCGCACTCTTTATTAACCCTACAAGAAAGTATTTCTTGGATGATAATATGGATAGGGTAGGGGTATTTATAACATAGATAAACAATTTATTTTTTTTAAAAAAAAATTAAAATAATTAAGTATATTTATTTGTAAGAAATGGTTAAGTTTTGGATTAATGGATTGCAGGGAGCTGGTTTGACAAAAGTCCCCAAGATCAAGTTCGTGATCATCGTCAGCGGAGCAAAATTCAACCAATTTCTGCCTCGCGAAGCATTCTCGACTTCCATTGGATGCCCATCCCTCCATTTTCTGGGTACTCTCTGTTACCGGGATGTGACAAACTTACCATCTATTTTCGTGCCTTTAGTAGACCTAGTATTTTGACGATAATATAGCTATCTATTTAGTAGACTAGAGTCTAACATGTGGCTCACTCTAAACATAAGTGATTATATACCCGAAAACATGATATCTGAGTAAATGAATTATAAGTATTTAAAAAATTGAAAATATATAACAGATCGGACGATGAATGGTTGAGATGTAAAATCAATATATCTATATGAATGTAGATATCTATAGGGTATCGTATAAATGTGATGTTATTATTTTAGATCTAAGTAATTCGATGAATCACTCTGGGTATGATATTGTCCACTTTAAGCATAAGCTCTAGCCTTATACCAATGATTAGATGACATTTTTAGGTAAAAGATTTTTTTTTATGTCAGTGTATTTAAAGTTTTTTTTTTTAAAAAAATTAAGAATATTAATAAAACTTTATATATATATATATATATATATATATATATATATATATATATATATATATATATATATATTTGTATTTTTTAAAGAAAGTATTATTTTTAATTAAATTTATTTTTTAAAAAAATTAAGAATATAGTTGTATGAAACGGTGGTGACAGGTGAGCGAGACCCGATGAAGCCACGTGGAGTGAAGCTTCTGGAATCATTTATTGACCCGTTAGTAATTTATCATTCTAAAGGCCACATAGTACCTACGCTTGGTAATATTTACATTTAATTCACATTTATTTTTTTTAATTCCTTATGCTAATTTTTATTATATTATCAAAATTATATTTTATATTTTCAGATCACGAAGCTGTGAAGATTATGCAGACTTTCATTCATATGATTTCAAACACATCCGATGTTTAATTAAACTATCAATTATGTATAACAATAATTATAATAATGGTGGTGAGAATGTTTGCTTAATACACCGCACTTAAACAGTGTGTGAAAGTTGTCTATTTATAATCAAATAAATTACAAAAATATGAAAATAGTAATATATAGAAAGGGAATTATAAATATCTAGATATTTGTCTGTAATAAAATATCAAATATAAAATATACAGTAAACTATAATTTAATACTAAATATCATCATTTTATTATTGACCCTTTTTAAATTAGGGTCGATCCTGAATCATCGTCCGTTAATATTGTGAAAGATGGAACCCAAAATATGTTTTTTTTTTTTTTTTTTTTGGAAAAAAAACATT